ACTGGCTTCGTGGGCGGCGAGTCAGCCTTTTCACCTCGTTCTCTATGCCCTGGATTTCCTTGTCCCATATCCCTATGAGGGCCGTACGACGTCTGCGACGCATCGCGTTGTACGCCTTGGTTGTCTGGCTCGCTCTAGGCCTCATGTCCTTGTTGCTGTGGATCATGTCCCATATGTTCCACACCCGCTCGTGGAGTTGGAGGCCTTGAAGCCTGTCCCGCTCCGCGTTCAGGAGCTCTGCTTCGGTCGCCTCGTTCAGCTCAAACAGCCTGTCGGTCAAGGCAAGTCGGCGGCTATGATGGTACCAAAGTTGGAAGACTTGCAGTACCCACTCGTCGGGTCTATCCGTGTTTTCCTCGAACCGGCGCCCGTCTACCTCCCATTGGTCGGCGGTGTCTGGCGTGGTCACCGCGGTGCTGTAGTCCTCGATATAATCCTCCACTGATTGCGTTATGTCCTTGATTTCCAAATCCACTTCGTCCAACAAGTCATTGAGCTGGTCCACATCGGTCTCGCCCTCGATATCAGAGAAGTCCTGGGGTAATCTGGCACGTCCTATGCTCGCTCGGAGGAGCTGCCGTAAGGTGTTTTTCTTTTGTCTTGGCTGCTCGTCAGGGTCGTTGCCTAGAAGCATGACGGGTTCTCGCAAGTTGTTCAGAATCACCTCAAAGTTCCTGAGGCCCTGCACCTGCGAAACGGCTTTCGGCAGAAGCCGCAGTTCGGCTGGAGTACCCCTTCTCAAGCCTTGGTGGTACCTCAGCCTTACTAGTTCCTCCCCTGGCTGGGTGTACCGGAAGTTCACCGCCGTGCGTGCGCGTTTGCTCCCGTTCGCACCACCCTTTAGCTTCCCCGTTTGGTATCTCCGATTATCCAGCCTCGACACCCCTGGCGTAGGGGTTTCCTCATATAAGGACATATCGCCCCCCAGGAGGGCTTTGTAATGGTTGAACCCCTTTTTGTTCCTCCATCCTTTGTGATCATCGAAGTTGTTCGCACCTTCCAGGGAGAATGTCTGATCCAGATCACGAGGGGGGAGGAGCCCTGGGATGATCTGATCCTCAAACCCATTACCGGTCTTTCCGAGGACCTGCAGAGCATTCTCAAGGTAATCGGTAAGCATGGAAGTATGGGCCCCGTCTCCCTTCAAGATGTCCTCATGGTTTGCCGCCCAGTAAGCGTCGAAGTTATTGACAATATCCTCGTACAGCATGTTGGTCATGAGCTTATCTTCCCTCCCATCTCCATCTCCATACCACCCACCAACATTGACGGTGGCGGTTGCCGTTGACGCATTGCCGGCGGTTGACGTACTGGCTGGCTTTTGCGTATTGGCGGCGGTTGATGTATTGGCGGCGGTTGATGTACTGGTTGGCTTTGGTCTACTGGCCGGCTTTTGCGTATTGGCGGCGGTTGATGTATTGGCGGCGGTTGATGTATTGGCTGCGGTTGACGTACTGGCTGGCTTACTGGCGTTGTTTTGTTGACTTTGGCTACTGCCGCCATTGGATGCGACCAGCTTCGACAAGGCGCTTTGCTGGGTGCCCAACCAATCCGCATACCTCTTGTAGAGTTTGAGTATATCTCCATGTTGACCGGTCTTGAAATGGTCCTTGGTCGCTCTGTCCAGCTTTCCCGTCACCCAGTCCGAGTTGTCCTGGATCTCTTTACTGGATGCTCCCCAGTCGATATTCCATTTGCTGTCTATCGCATCGACAACCATCGCGAGATAGGCAGCATGCTCTTTGAGAATGTCCTGGCATTCTTGCCGCTCCGCGGGATCTTTGATATTAAGTCTCACATTGAACTTTAGAGTGTCTACTGTATTGGCCTCCGCAAAGCGCTGGGCAATCGCCATGTGGCTTTGTAGAGCAGTCGCATAGTGCTTATTCACGAGCTCTTGGATCGTTTTGTAGTCGACTGCACTTCCATTTGTCGGGAACTTTGTGGCGTCATTCAGGAAGGTATTGAAAGCCGTCACCGCCTGCGTAAGCACAGCACGTCTTCCTCGGATATCCCTTAAGATTTGCTGGTTGCTCATGATGCCTGCCTGCTATAGTCGCCTTTAAGAAATACAGAGGAGCTGTGTATGGGTATATTCAGTGACTCCGTGAGAACTCGGCCCCTGCCTTTCGACTCTCACCACGGCCTGTAGAAAAGATCTGTATACCTGACCGGCTGTCGATAATCATGACAGCCAGAAAATCACTGCTGCTTCTTGAAATAGGGGGCACGATGATGCCGTTTCAACGATATAGGGGCAATCTCACAGGTATCATAACAAACAATAGCGACCCGAGAAGAGACCAAGAAGGAATACGCATGGGAATGTATTATACTACGTTTTATTATGCAACCAAAGCGCAGACAAAGAAAACCCCCTCGGCTTTGTGAAAACCTCGACCGATTTGGCAGCATGATGAAAACGGCCATATCAACTATATGCCATGGTATCGTGGCGAGCTTATTGAATGCAGAAGCTTTACCTTTACATATTTCAGAGACAAAGGCCTGCTACCCACAAGATGCGGCCGAGGAATGGGAGCTCGTCATTGTTAACGGCCTGCAATGGGACAATGTCTCAGAACTGCGTTCTGCGTTCTGCGTTCTGTAATAATGAACCCTCTTGGCCAGGCTAACTTACTAGTGAGACATGGCCATAGTACCTTATAATATCTCGAGATTGTGCAATGGCGTGCATAGGTTGACAATATACAAACAGGGTTTTAGGGCTACATGTCTGAAGGAAAGCTTTTCGCAGTTGTGATGTATTCAGCTCGTAGCGTAGTTTTAATAGATACTGAAATGTTCTGTCACCAACCAATCTTCCTGCTTTGTAGAACTCGACGGAAGTTGAATTGTGCTACTGGCACCAAGACTATCGCACCCATGGCGCAGCTCGAGATGGAAATCTGAGCGATAGATGATCACAAGCCGGTCCTCAACAAGAGGACGGGTATAAAGCCTAATCAAGGTCTCGGCGACAGAGGGACTGCGAAACAATATTTCATGAACTTGTTCATCCCCCATCAATCGGGGGCTATGCAGTTGCAAATGATCTTTCGACTCGACAAACAAAGAATGGACCACCTCACGGGCTCAGCCGATTCAGAGTCCACACGGCACCCCCATCCTTTGTTGTGCCTTCTTCCTTTGTGTAGAGAAACCGATCGTGCAGCCGGTTCGGCCTCCCTTGCCAAAACTCGACCGACTCGGGGATGATGCGTAGCCCGCCCCAATACTCGGGCACTGGTATCCGCTCTTCGCCCTGAAACCGCTCCTCCGCCTCACTCACCCACCCTTCCAGCTCCTTCCGCCCGTCGTCCGCGTCATCAGCATCGTCTTTATCTTTGCTGCCGCTGCTGCTGCTGCCGCCGTTGTTATTGTCGGCGCTGTTGGACGGCCGCAGGACCTGGCTCTGGCGGCTAGCCCAGGCGCCGATGCGGCTCCCGCGGACGCGGGTGTCGAAGTAGGCCTGGCTCTCCTCGGGGGTGAGGCGGGCCGCGCGGCCCTCGACGCGGACCTGGCGCTCGAGCCCTTCCCACCAGAAGGTCAGGCTGGCCCAGGGGTTGGTGGCGAGGTCGGCGGCCTTGCGGCTGGTGCCGAAGTTGCTGTAGACGACGAAGCCGCTGCCGCTGCCGCTGCCGCTGCCGCTGCCGCGGGCGCTCTCGTCCTCCAGCTCCTTGAGGTAGACGACGCGCGACGACACGCGGCCCGAGGGCAGCGCCGCCGTCGCCAGGCAGCACGTCTCCGGGTGGGCGCACCCGGGCAGGCCCGACCGCTGCGCCTCGCCGAACCACCGGTGGAACTGCCGGATCGGCGATGTCGCGTCCAGGTCCCGCCGCGTCAGGGGCCCCGCCTTGGTGAACTGCTCCGCCTGGCCGTGCGCTTCCGTGCCGGCCGGAGCGACTGTTGTGGTGGTTAGCCTGTGCGTCTCGTCTCGTCTCGTCACGTCACGTCACGTCATGTCGCCATCTCGACTTGGTTGCATGTGTGCCTGCATAGGCGCAGGTGATTGGAGGGGCTAAAAAAAGGAGGTGGGCGACACAACATACAGATTAGCTTGGAATTGTCTGCGGCGGCAGAATGTAACGCCATCTTCGAAAGAACTCTAAGATTTCTTGAGGCTGTCAGACGCATGAGAAGATAGGCTCTTGGAGTCCTTTGCCAGGCTACCTAGCTACTAAGCAAGTACTCAGCTAGGTGACAGATATTGAAGTTTCCAATGAAGATGCCAAGGTTGATGTAAGGTATGAATCATGGGTTAAGTTATAGGTTGCCTATATGTATGGCAGCTCAGGGGGCCATGGAGTCATTAGAAGGCAGTAGAAGGTTACCTACATGTGTATGTGTAGGTATGTAGATGCTACCTAGGTACCTAGCAGTTGCTTAAGTACCTATGCTGCTATGTAGGCCTAGGCAGCTTTTGGCTTTTACGAGAATAACGGGTGATGGTGATGTGGACAGTGGAACCACCTTCACTAGCAAACGCAGGTCAAAAGAATTGATATCAGCCGATGGAAATGACCGGCCTGGAAAAACCGTTCAGGTAGATTGAGGCAATTGGCATTGGTCACTTACCTTCGTACAATAACATCTTACATTACCTGCCTGTCATACATAGGTAGGGGGCAATACAGTGATAGGTTTGTACGGGTATACATATGAGACATACACAAATACCTTAAGGTAATGCTAATATCTATATGATATACATACCTTGTATGTACAACAGGTGTCCGTGTATTCAATTTACAGCTGCATTTTTAGGCCTCCGCAAGCGTGGCGACTAGCACATTCTCTTCGCCGCTTCCGGGCTAATATAACCGAGAAAAGTACTACGTAAAAAGAATTTCCTCGGCGGCATTGTTATTGCTACCAAAGTGCGTATTGCTAAGACAACTACTTCGTACTTCGTAACTAGGTAGGCTCTAGCCTACCCATTGCTCGGAGCACCAAGCCGCATATATATAAGCGAGTAATTCCAAAATTCGCCAAGCAACGGCCTGGTAGTCTAGTGGTCAGGACGTGGGATTCTGAAAACATAGCAAGGAAACTTGATAGTTCACGAGAATCTTCCCGAAACCCCGGTTCGATCCCGGGCCGGGCCTAGCTCAACATAACCTTTTGCCCTTTTTCCTTGCTTTTTTTTTTTTTTTTTTTTTTTCTTTCTCAGCGTTCGTTCGCTTCGCGTGTCTTTCCTGAAGTCTTGCTTCAACTCCGAGCTTGGGCTTCACTTTTTTTCTTCTTCTTTTTTGTTCTCCCATGTCCCTGTGCATACGAACAGGGACCACTTCTTATAAGTACCTACTTACTTGACCACCACACTTTGATGTTGCATCGAGCTGGCATATCGTAGGGGTGCATAGACGGTTGTTTCCTTGATGACAAGGCGCCCAATAATATCAAATTTATATTACTACTACATATATATGCATCTTCTATTGCGTCTTTGCGCAATTACTAAATTGGCTAGTCCAAAGGTGCGAAGCCAGTTTCATCTTTCCATCTCGACAGAGCAGGGTTGAAATCACGAGAGAGCTGCAATAATAGCATCATACGCAGGCTTCGGCTGATAGTTTGCATCAAATAGCAGAGGAGAGCTCTGGGATTGCCAAGAGTCCTGTCAAGGGAGTTATTAACCGAGTAACAGAACATAATGCGGAGAGAACTCTGTGTAACGGAACTGCAAATAAAGCAGTCATGGGGATCGGGGGAAGGGGAAGAGGTTCTTTTCAGAGGGCGTTCGTCTTAGGAGAGGGGGCTACTTGGTAAGGTACTTACAGCATCACTCACGCCCCACACCGTGATTCCAACGCAAGCCTCGACCGCGAGACAAGCATCCACGACGGCGACGTATTGGTCCGCAGGCGCATCGTCGATATCCAGCTCCGTGATAGCGAGCTCGCTTACCCCAGTGGAAGCCAGGGCCTGCAGCCCGGCCAGCTCACCGCTCGCGTCGCCGTTGGCGCCGCCAAGGTGGCCCTGGGAGCCGATGCCGTCGATGGGCACGCCGGCCGCGAGCCACTTCTTGACGTGGGGCACCATGCCGGCGGTGACCTTGGCCGCGGTGCCGCTCTCGAGGTGGTAGTCGTTGATGTACAGCTTGGCGTCGGGGTCGGCGGCGCGGGCGGCCTCGAACGCGATCCGGACGAAGTCCTCGCCCAGCACGCGCGAGAAGACGCAGTCGCGCAGCCCGCCGTCCTCGGCGAAGATCTCGTTGACCACGTCCCAGGCGCGCACCCGGCCCTTGTACCGCCCGACCACGGCGCTCACGTGGTCCTCGATCACGCGCGTCAGCTCCGCCGCGTCCGCGATGGCCTCGACGTACGCCGGCAGCTGCTGGTACCAGAGCAGCGTGTGGCCGCGCACGCTGAGGCCGTGCTGCTCGGCGTGCGCCACCAGCGCGTCGGCCCCCGCGAAGCTGAAGGCGCCCCGCGACGGCTCGATCGCGTCCCACTTCATGCTGTTCTCCGGCGTCAGCTGCCCGAAGTCCGAGCCGCCGTCGATGAGCGCCGCGTTCGCCGCCTTGGAGAGCGTCCCCGCGTCCGCCGCCGTGCCGAAGTACAGCTTGCCCTTGGCCTTGAAGAGCGCGTCGATCCCGGAGCCCGCCGTGGGTGCCGGCTGCTGGGTGGTTCCGGTAGGCTGCTTGGTGGCGCTGGCGCTGGCGCTCGTAGCTGCGCTGGTGATGCTAGTGGTGGTCACGGACGGCGTGACCGTCGGGGGCACTTCCGCCGTGGACGACGTAGTCGGCACAGTTGTAGTCGTCGGTGGCGCTTCCGTCGATAGAGATGATGCCGTGGTGCCAGAGGGTGTGACTTCGGCCGCCGTGGATGAGGAGGAAGGCTGATGGCGACAGGGTCCGGCCATAGCACCCATAGGGGCGAGAAGGTACGCGAAAGTTATGGGCTTCATGGTGTATATACAGATATGAGCAAAAAAAACAGGTTAAATCAGTTATGTTAGCTGTGAATGCAACGGGAGAACGAGGTGATGATTGTTATATTAAACGATTGTAGGTAGAAGCGAGTGACTGGATCAGCATGTATTAAAGAGAGTGAGCTGCTAGATTTTGCATCTGGTACCTTGCCGCTAGATAGAGAGGCACAATATCTTGCCAAAGGCTTGAGCCATCTCAAGTAATTCGACGACGAACATGCTACTATCTATACTATGTAAGTAAGACCATCCGCCGGCGCCCCCCTGACATGTTGGCAACATAGCCACAACTAGACGAGCCAAAAATCCCGGCCGAAGCGCTCAAAACAGGTAGTTGGCGCCAACGAGAACTTGAAGTCGGGCCATATGCGAGTTTCATCAAACCGAAAGGGGGTCCTAGTCTTCCCAAAGGAGAGGTGGACGATGCTACGATAGCGGTAGACCGTCCGATGGTGGACAGGATCCCTGGGCCGGTGCGACTTCAACTCGGTTCTAGCCGAGCCTTTATGGGCCACCGACCTGATCTACGTCCGAGCCTACCTAGTATAATGGCAATAAAACGTCGTGATATATGCCTTATAGGCCGCTTCCTATAGACTAGGAACAGCATGGTATATCCTCTCTAATCTGCCCATTGAGCAAACCCCATCTGGCAGGTGCCAGACAAACAGCAGTTTGTGCAGAAACTCTTTACAAAAGAAATTGGAGCGATAAATAAGCAGTTGATCTCTACATTATATTGGGTGATTGCTTACTCTGACTTCTTCGAAGTACCATAACTCGCATTATATCCCTAGGAGACGGGCCGTTTCCCTCAACTAGCGACAAGCGCCTCCCGACATTTGTAACAGCTTCACTCGTACCTAGGTTCAACGGTGATTAGAAGCCTGACGAGTAATAGTCATGAATGTAACAGCTTTTTATCAATAAAACTTGGAGTCACCTCTAAAGCTTGCTGTGGGATCCGTTCATTCGCAAACCAGCACTCACATCCCATTCTGCCATGTTGAAGATGAAATTACGCCTCCAACTAGTACGTAGAACCATTGCGTACATGTCTGCGGCTAGTTGTGTACATAATCTTAGGATGTTAGATACATCAATGGATTACCAGTGGCCAAGGAACCTGCAGCCAGCTCAAATCGGTAGAGGGTAGAGGGTTGGGGGGGGGGGGGACGCTGATACAAAATGGTGATGAAATGGAGACGAGCAACTATAATAACACGCATTTCCAAGTGAGGGATATCAGAACAAATAGACATAGGGGCCATGCATGTTGGATACTAGGTATGTACGTATGATCTACCTAGGTAGCGTCTGGTTCCTGCATTGTGACGATCTGCCTCGCGGGGTGAGTTTATCTTTCTTTCGTTTTTCTGTCCTCCGTGAAAAGACACGACGCCGACTTAATATGGCCAATTCTGTGTGTTTTCTTTTCTGCACTTATACACGCCCAAACGCTAAGTAATGGTGGAAGAAGTAAACATCAAGGATGCACCAGCCAACCCAATTCTTACTTCTCTGGGACTTTCGAGTTTCAGGGCTACCTCTACAAGCACTGAAGCAGTAAGGGGGCATGCTAACGTATGTACTTTACTGTGCCTCAGTAAACTGTAGTTTGACCAGAGAGCGGGATGGACAGTGTCACAGTGGGACGTAGGTACTACCACGCGCCTACAACCTAGGGATGTGCAGCCTATAGTTAGGTAGGTACCAGTCTGGTGGGGTGGGATTCCATCTTATCGGTTGATCTACTTACCGATAAGTATAATGCCCCTCCTCCCCCAAATATTTTTTCTGATAAGGGGGGTTCGCACTCTATAGTACCTACCCAGCGGTAGCTTGCGATTCGAGATCCTCTGGAATAGCAGACGCGCGCAATCTATTCCCTTTCCAAGGCAAAGTACCAAAACATTCTTGTTTTATTATTATCCGTGACTGCACGACATGATGGCATCAGCCAAAGACACGATAGCGACCATCACCAGTCTTCGCGAGTCGCTCTGTTCCGAATCTACCCCGCTACCCATCCGGTTTCGCGCGCTCTTCTCCCTCAAGCACCTCGCTCGGCACGAGACCGGCGACGAGGCCCTCGCCGCCATCGACGCCATCGCCGCCGGCTTCACCTCGCCCTCCGCCCTCCTGAAACATGAACTGGCCTACTGTCTCGGCCAGTCCGAAAACGATGCCGCAATCGCGCCGCTCAGGAACGTCCTAGCCGATCTACAAGAAGATACGATGTGCCGACACGAGGCGGCCGAGGCGCTCGGGGCCCTAGGCAAGGCCGGCAATCTAGATATACTGTGCGAGTTCAGAGACCGGCCGGGCGAAGAGGTGGTTATCAAGGAGACATGCGAGATCGCCATCGACAGAATAGAGTGGGAGAACTCGGAGCAAAGAAGAAGCGAAAAACTACGCCAGAGGTAAAAGCGGCCAGTCACATTCATCGTGCGAATGCTCATCTATGCTGTGGGCTGCTGAGACTAACTTAAGAACGACGCAGCGACTTCGCCTCCATAGACCCGGCACCCTCAATGCCCGAAGCCGACCAAACGGTAGAGCAGCTCGAAAAGACCCTGATGGACACAGATGCGCCGCTTTTCCTCAGATACCGCGCCATGTTTGCGCTGCGCGACCTGGCGTCGCCGCCAGATCTACCAACAGCCGTACCCGCCGTCCATGCTCTCGCCAAGGGCCTCGCAGATCCATCCGCGCTCTTCCGGCACGAAATTGCCTTCGTCTTCGGCCAGCTCTCCCATCCGGCCTCCATCCCCGCTCTCACGGCCTCGCTAAGTAATCTCGAGGAGGCGAGCATGGTCCGGCACGAAGCAGCCGAGGCGCTCGGCAGTCTAGGCGAAGAGGAAGGAGTAGAAGATATCTTGAAAAAGTTTCTCCATGACAAGGAGAAGGTGGTCCGCGACAGCGTCATCGTTGCTTTGGATATGGCCGATTTCGAACAGTCGCATCAAGCTGAGTACGCGCTGATTCCCGAGGCGCCCAAGGTCGCGGCATAGGTAGGAAATTCGGGGGCGTTGGTTTGAGGTCAATTGTAGAATACCCTGACAGCCCTGACAAGCATGGTTGTTCCCTTCTCCGTGGCCCGCTCTTCCGTAAAGGAGCCCCAAGGAGCCCCTATTTATATTATTCGATCTGGCGCATTTGGCGTAATTGG